CAAACAGGTCCAGAGTGCAAACAGCCAGATTTTTTAAATCAAAACCAGAATCTGTGTCCTCCTTCTATCAATCAAACACAAAATGCAGTTTCTAGTATCAGCTGACATATTTCATTAGAGAGCAAACAAACAACAACAAAGAAACAAACACAATGCAAACACTCGCCTCTCCCATCTCTGTGAGGAAGCAGTCGATGTAGTCTCTCGGTGAGGACGGGTCAAGGCTTTCTCTGTGTTCTTTAATCTTGATCTCTACAAAGTCATCTAAGTTTTGTGTCAGAGTGAATATCCTCTGGTGAGGTCCGGGCACCCACTTCATCAGCCAGGGATATGTGTTATAAACCTACAGAGCATGAAGACAGTTAACAGACCATTAGAGAATCTTGATGTAGTTCACAAGGTGGAGGCCGCGGCAAATGTGGCAAAACTAATTTGTTTGCTGGATTGGTCAAAAAAACAGATGTAAATCACAATAAATCAATATTGCAATATAAAATTTCGTATACTGTGATGGAGGTTTAGAGCCCGACCAATATGGGATTTTGATATTTGAGAATTTTAAAATCTAATACTCCAATAAATGAGACAATATTCGTTTTATTCCCTTCATTTCAGAAACACATAACATCAGATTATCCCTAAAATTGATTTAGTTATGAGACCTCACCAAGATAACATGACATAATGCAGTTTAAAAATAAATAAATAGTACTTTAAACAATAGTACAGCTGATTATGTCAGCTGATTGCTGTGTTTTGTGGTGGATTTGTGGCTTTTCAAACACCTGTGCAACACAGGGGAGTTGCAGAGTGACCTCTGGTGGAAAAACTATGCATTGAAAACACTCATAACATGATTGAAGGATCTGTGATCTTTTAAATAATGATTTATCAACAGGATTTATTTCATAAGCCTATGTATTTATGTTATTTATTTAATATCGACAGAAATGGCATCCATATTCCATATTTGCATGAGTACTTTTTACTTAAATTGATCCTTGGTACATTTTGCTTATAAAACTTTTGTACTTCAGTGAGAGCAGCTACTGTCATGCCCAGCTTCTGCAGTTAGGTTATGTGTTCAGTTTTATGTCTGCAACCACTTCCTGAAATTTATCATCTTGTCTCTTTCCAGGTCTTTGTCTACCCTCCTGCCCTACGTGATTACCTGTCCCCGCTCTAATGTGCTCCACCTGTGCCTCGATGTCTCCCCTGTTATGTGTGCATAGTTTGTACCTGTGCTAACTTGTCTTGATCCCTTGAGTCAGCCAAATGTGTTCCAATGTGTGTGCACTCTAGTGTGTTTTGACCTCAGTTTTTTGTGTGTAGCCTTGATAACAACACAACACTGTCCCACATGTTTCTGACATATAGGCTCTGCCATACTGACTTCACCAGCACGGGAATGGCGTCACAGACACCAGATTTAAAAACTCCTGTATACTGCGAATACAGAGAGATTTACCTGGTAGCATCAGTCTTAATAAGCATTGTGTGAAATCGTTTGGGCTTGAATGTAACGGACGTTTATTTATATGTAAAAGTCCCGCACTTAAGATTTAAATAGAGGTTTAATTCAGGACTTTTACTTGTAATAGAGTATTTTTAAATAGTTGTATTCATACTTTTACTTTACTATCTGAGTACTGCTGCACATTTTTATCTAATTTAATGCATTTTATGTTAGTTTCATTCATTGTGTTGTTCTTGAAACCTTTTACAAAATAGTTAATAAAACCCATCACTGACTTTTGTGGTCTGCATGGATAAATTCTGATTAAGAAAAAGATTCATATGCGCTGCAGGAGGCTCACCTGTGTCCAAAAACTTCCCTGTAAGTACATTATTTCATTCAACTTCTGAAGAATACCCTGGTACTGCTTGTCAGTGTATTCAAAGCGATCACCAAACACCAGGCAGCAGATGATGTTGGACACAGCACTGGTAATCAGTGATTGGGCATCAAAAGGCTTGCCTGTAAAAGAAAGAGGAAATGTAGAGAAAACACACAGAAACTTTGAAAAAAAATATAAGAACGCAAAGTCAAAACATGAACTGTGTGATGAGCCACAGGCAGAAGAAGAGTACTGTGACATATTGATTATAATTATGGATGATTAACAGGCTGGTTTATCAGATACATTTACAGTGTCAGCCACTGCCAAACTGAAACAAACTAACGTCTAAAGTGCATGGTTCAGTGCTCCACAGTGTTGCTGCATGCCTCTGTGTGGAGCAAAGTTGGAGCGAAGTTGAAGGGAAAGGGAACATGTACTTAACATAAAAAAAGACTGTGTCATGGTGAAAAAGCATACTGCCCTGTAACTAGTTATGGATTAGTTGATTAGTTGTTGCTTGTTGAAAAATAAGATTTTTTGTTGCCTTGCTGAAGGGCAAAAGCTTCAGTGAGATATTGGCACTCCTGCTGGATGGATGGCTCCAGGCTCTTCTTGCCCACACCAAAGTTTCTGAGTGTCTGAAGAGCGAATCTCCTCTGCTGCTTCCATGGATTGCCATTTGATATCACCAGACCTTTTGGAAACACAAACAGCATTACATCGAAGGTAACTGGAAATGAGTAAAACTAACAACTAGCTAACCTAATATGGTGTCAGTCTGATGCTACTACCTAAATCCTAACTAGCAACTTTTAAATAAAATACAACACAGACCTCTGTTCCCATTTAATGCTTCTGCCATTGGTATGATGGGGCGATCTATGTAGTCCTCTCCTTTGTGGACCAGGGCCTCTCTTACAAGCTTGTAGCCATTAATCACCACAATCCGTCCACCGAACAGCCGAAGGCTGAAAACGTTTCCATATTTCTCTGCAAACTGAACACAGAGATCAGACAGGTGTTCAGAGTTGACCTAGTTTCTGAGAACGTCAAAACAAAATCAGTCTAGCTTCAGAGGGTGACAGCACAAACATGCACCTGGCTGATGTGGGTGGTGTTTCATGTTTTATCCTGCTTCCTTTTACATTATTGACATAAATTGGCTCTGTAGATACTAGTGTAAATGTGTTTCTTCTTGTTTCATAAACTCCTTTGTGGTGACGTGATGTCCCGTTTCACCACTACATGGAAAAAAGTGTCTGCCGCCTCACACATAACAATGGCCCCTCCGATACCTCTGACCAGATGCAGAGTAGAGCAGCCTTTTGGACAATAGTTTTGGACAGTATTAATCCTGTGGACGGAAATCAAGCTGCAACCACATGCCTGAATGTTGAAGCCAATGCAGGAGTTACTCAATATGCAGTTATTAAGGATCATAGATGGCTACGTTTGAGGGAAAATGTGTGGCTGTTGTCAACAGGCAGTGAGATAAAAAACTGGAACATTTGATGCTAAAGGTACAAGGATGTTTATTTTTAATTATACAGCACAAGGTTGTATAATGAAATTAAACTTGTAGTCCTTTCATGCTACACACACACCTTTTAAGTGTATATTAAAATACGGTAACATATAAAAGGAAACAATATATACAGTAATTTATATACATATACAATTTTTTTAATTTGCATCTGGGGTGAATGTAAACAGCAGCAACCAGATGATAATGGGGTTTCATCTTCACAATAAACAATCTGACATTTGGGAAACAGAGTCCATCTTGACTGCATTTGAGCACCAAGCGTTTGAGTCCACCTCCTCCAAGCTGGCATACAACCAACAAGGTTATCCTCTTTCTCTTTCTCCCCTGTGCCTGGTATCCTTAAATACAGTATTTATTAAAATGTATGCTACGAAGTATCTGTATCATCCACAGAATTTACTGTTACATCTAGCTGTGACACACAAAAGAGTGTCAAACCCCATTTCATTTCAGGTTCACTACCTATATTTTTTATGACATAAAAAGGCTTCAACCAACAATTATTTTCATTATCAATGAATCTGCAGATTATTTTCTCCATTAATCAATTAATTGTTTGGTCTATAAAATGTCACATGTCATCTGTCAAGTCAAATTTAATCCTGGGTGAATTAGGCCATGAATTTGCTTTTTACAACAATCCCTCAACTTGAGTTAATGATTTCCTACATTCCCAAGGGAATGTGCAGCTTTCTGCTTTTGGATTTTTCTTCTATATCCAGATTTAGCCTACTTATTTAATCATTCAAAAAAGAAAGTCTGGTGGAAAGGAGTAAAAACAATGAAGAAGTGAGTCATGTACAGAGGGTACTTTTTTTTTTTCTCCAAGAGGCATTTTATTTTACTCACCCAATAATAGTTCTTATACTGCATGTCTGTCCTTACCTCTGTGAACTGCAGGTGAAGTCTGGAGGGTTGGATGCGATGAAGGTCACCAATCAAAGGAAGAGCCCAGGGTCCAGGAGGAAAGTTGGTCGGCACTCTGTTCTTCAAAACATCAGTCAACAACAGAAAAACACACAGAAATATTAAAAGACTCGTGCCGTTCATCCACTCCAAGCCGAGTACTTTGTGTATTGTCTCCATTTGTTGTCTTGTTTATTTATCAGTAGGCTATGCGATATCGCGACCGGTGAATGAATCTGTCCGGTGAATGAAGGGAATGTTCTAAACAAAGTTGGTATCGGGAAGACATCCGGTTTGCGTGCCTAGTTCTGCATTAAATTTACCTCGGAAGTCGGAGGTGGGAATGTCGTCACACCCGAGCTGACCGCGTCCCAGTTAACAAGTCGGAAAAAGCCACAGGTGCACACCTCCCCCTTCTCAGCCAGGCAACCAGCTACTTTTACTTTCGCTTTTCGCAGACTCATGTTGTGTGCAGCATAAAGTCAGATCATGACTGCTCACATAGGCTAATTATGGAAAAGAGAAGCGACTGCCTGACTATAGTTTGTTTATCTGCCCCAGACTTCTGTGCCTTGTGGTATTAAAAGGCAAGTCGATAGTTGTTATCACCAGTAACTACAGGTGTCTCATGCGTAAATAACGGCGCAGCAGCATAATAGCGTCAAACCGGTTGATTAATAGCCTATATCATGCCAATCAGAGTTACAGATCCATCACTCATCGCTTATGATATCCCATTAAAATTAACACCTGTTTGAATATAAATAGGGATAGGCTATGACTTCATATAGAGTCTTTTGGGACTGGATCCTGGCTCTGAAACACATAGTAAGACAAGATGATTACTATTGAGCATATATATGAGAAATGTACAAAATCTATCACATGATGAACTCAGATGTTGAAACATTTTCATCTTTAAGCTTAAAATTGTAGGAATAAACTGTTTTTGGGGACATGTGGCATCTATGAAACTTACTCTGTTCTTTGGAGTAGACCAGACCGGAAGATGGAGCACTAACACCTCTGGTGGTCACAGCGTACAGAGAGATACTGTACCTCACACCTGCAGTCAGACCTAAAACAATACAGGAAAAACTAAACTACTCTCACCATGAATGCCACTATATTTCACAAACATTCAAATTTGCTAAAGAACTTCGTCTTCAGTTGGATTTAGAGTATCATATTATTTATACCACAAGTTGTGGGTTTTGTTTGAGTGACTACAAACTCTCACATCACCACATTCAGATTGCCTTTGTTACATGATGAGTAAGAATTGTGAGCTTGCCTTTTCCAGGACTTCTCCCCCTCACAGACGGACTCCATTCACTGCAGAACGACCTTCTGCTGGAGGGTGACATGGGTCTCTTGGCATATGTCAGTCCTGATGTTGACTTACATGTTCTCATCTGGAACTCATATTCAGTCAGAGGCCTCAGGCCGACCATTTGTATCAGACCCTCGCTGAGCTCTGTACCCTCTACCGCTCTCTAAAAAACATTAAGAGATTAGGTCACCTACACAAGGATGATTCTGCAAAATGAAAACAAAGCTCATGGGTGTCATAACATTTAACAACACATAACTTTACCCAGAAGCCATTTTCTGTGCGGAGCCTGACATAGGATCTGAGATGATCTGAGGATTCAGTGCTTTTCCAATGCAACATGGCTCCTGTGGAGTCATTCCCAAACTCTATATGCATAAGACGAGGGGTCTCTGGTATCACTGCAATACAAAAGAACACAGAAGTAGCGTCCCCAGTGTGATGAGCTCCCAGCACACCAAAATGACTCCAAACAACCAACAAAACAGTAGCTCACAATTCAATAATGACTGAAAATGTCCAGGCTGTTGCAACACATGTTACATAAGTGGGGAAAGAAGTTGGCTAATTGTTCACTTCAAAGAAATATTACAAAAAAAGAGAACCAGTTCATATTAGTCACACTACGATGATAATGACACAGGATGACTAATTTCTCAAGAAAACCCTTTTCATTTACATTGGTATAAATCTTTTAAAAAGTGATGATTTAGATGTACACTAAAGATAAGTGTAACAGAAATGAGAGCTTACCTATATCCTTTACACAGAGGATGAATGGATCAGACTGTGATGCTCCAAAGTGGTTGTAAGCAGTGATAATCAACTGGTATTTAGTGTTTTCATCTATCTTCGCTCGTGGTATGGTGATTTTCTCAGACTCCTGTTTCTGATGTGAAAGTATCTGGGTCCCATTTTCACTGATAATAGAACACGTGTTAAATATAAAGCATATATACATTGACCTGTGAGAAGAAGGCGACAGCTTAACATGACCTAAACCTAACACCTCACCTGTTGACTGTAACGTTGTAGGTAGTGGGGAGATATGTTTCCTGTCCTCTCTCCCATGAGCAGTTTGTAAAATCTGAGCTCCTTGTTGTTTCACAGATAATATTTTCAGGTTTATCTGGAGGAACTTGAAGGGCAGAAGACGAAAAACAAAATAGATGTTGTTAAATAACTGTTTTGTATGCCAACTGGGAAATGCAAAAACGTGCAATACAGCTCAATGACACAAATTATTTACTTTTCTGTTTTACAATTATGTTTGTACATCGTTCGGTAATTCCCTTTAGAAAATATTGCCTCGTTCACTGATACATCCGGAATTCATACGAATGTAGACATCAAAGCTAAGCGTACGTACGCCCGCCATGAAGGTCCTTTCCATCAACAATCTTCATCGTCAGCTTGCACACCACGGTAGATTTTGGTATCCGGACATTGACCAAATTGAATATCATCATGGTGCAGTTGACTCTCTTCCCAGGTGCCACAGGCTTATTATTTAGCACCAGGGATATGTCCCTGGAAGACAGTGACATAAGTGCATCTGAACAAAACATTTTTTACGTAAATAAAAAGACTGTTGTTAATTGTCATGAGGTCGAAGTGCTTCAGATGATTAACGTCTCTCTGCTGACAGGCATTTTCCCCACAATACTGAAAACTGCTGTTGTAAAACCCCTCATAAAGCAAAACAACAATGACCCGTTAATACTCAACTACTGCAGATCAATCTAAAACATTTCCCTCCTAAGCAAAATGTTTGACAGCGTGGCTTACAACCAGCTGAGTGACTAAATGACAGCTGCATATTTGAGAAATTTGCATATTTGATCTGGCTTTCCCCCGTCATAGCACTGATGCTTGACGGGGGAAACTCCATCCTGAAATGATTTCAGAATGAAAATAGATGATAAGAAGCTCGACATATTGGTACTCCTAGACTAAGGCGCTGCATTTGACACTGTCAACCATGACATCCTTATCGACAGATCACAGAATTGTGTAGGCCTCTTAGGCTCGGTCCTCAACTGGTTCAGGACTTATTTATCTTTGCAGAGATTACTTGTGCTGTTCCTCAAGGTTCTATTCAGGGCCCGTTACTGTTCAGACTGTATATGTTAACACTGGGATACATAATCAGAGATCATCGGATTGATTTCCATAGCTATGCCGATGACACGCAACTATTTGTTTCATTTGTTTGTTTTATCACCTAATGACACCAGTCCTATTAAGTTGTTTTCAAGCATTGATCACATCAAACTATGGATATCACATTATTTACTACAGTTTAACAAAGATAAGACTAAGGTTTTAATCAGTGGTAGATCCTTTACTCAAGTAAAAGTACTAATACCACATTGTAGAAATACTCTGTTACAAGAAAAACTTCTGCATTTAAAATGTAATTTAAGTAAAAGTATTAAAAGTATTAAAAGTAAAGTAATCACTGCAGAAAAATGTCCCCTGACTATTATTACTTGTGCATTCATGTAAAATCAGTGGAGCTCATTTTGAACCATTCTGAATTGGACTGCAACTAATGATTAATTTCATTATTGATTCATCTGCTGATTACTAGATACAGTGGGGAGAACAAGTATTTGATTCACTGCTGATTTTGCAGGTTCACTGTATATGTAGTGAAGTAAAAAGTACAACATTTCCCTTTGAGATGTATTGGAGTAAGAAAGTGGCATGAACAGAAAACACTCTAGTAAGCAAATGTACTTAGTTAGGGTCCACAATTGGTTTTGTTTATCAGAACTAAGGACTCAAGAGAGCTACTTAAATCCTTGACCCCAAAAAATAAACCCCTAGTAAAGAATATTGGTGTACTTCTGGACTGGATCACATATCAGTTATGTCACAAAGAATGCCTTTCATCACTTCAGAAATATAACTTAAGTGCAGCAATTCCTACTACTTATATTACAATTCAAATCACTAAATGGAGTAGCGCCTCAGTATCTATCAGACTTGTTCTATCATATGTCCCCAGTAGACCCCTTAGATCCTCTGGCACTGGCCTTATAGTAACCCTAATGGTAAGGACAACGAAAAAACGGAGTGGAGCTGAGGATGTGTCTAACTTTAAGTTCTTTTAAAAGAAATCTTTCTAGTTTAGCATTTTCCTAATTTATTTTTTATTGCTTTTATTGATCTTACTGTAATATTTGTCTTATTTCTCTTTATGTTTCTCTTTATGTTCTCCTCGTGTCTGTGTGGGTTCTCTCCGGGTGCTCCGGCTTCCTCCCACCATCCAAAGACATGCAGTCTAGGTTGATTGGTGACCCTAAATTGTCCTTAGGTGTGAGTGTGAGCGTGAGTGGTTGTTCGTCTATGTGTGGCCCTGTGATGGACTGGCGACCTGTCCAGGGTGTACCCCGCCTTGCGCCCAATGTCAGCTGGGATTGGCTCCAGCGACCCTGTACGCAGGATAAGCGGTTGACGATGGATGGATGGATTTAATTTCTCTTATAAGATAAGAAAAACTTTATTGTCTGTCATAAGTGACAGAAATTTGTCTTTGACAAGACAGGCTCAGGATGCAATACAGACTCTTTTATTACTGTATTCACTACTGTTGGTTACATGGCTATGCTGTATTTTTAACATAATGTCAAGCACCTTGTATTGTTCTTTTGCACGAAAGATGCTATACAAATAAAGTCTGATTGATTGAATCTGTTTTACACATAATCATAGGCACAGAATATAGTATGGTATGTCATATAATATCATATTACATCTTATATATCATTCCTACCCTAGTTCACATTTGTTGATTCGGCAGTACACTGTCAGGTTTGAGCCGATGAGGAATAGCGGAGATGGTTCTACTGTCACGTGGCCATGGCGATTGAGTTGTTGGCAGCCAGCAGGGAGCAAAGGCCAACCTGTTCAGAAAAGACACACACCCAGGTGTCATAGCAGTACTGTTACTATTCTTGTACTGTTAATATTTATTGTCAATTCCCATCGCTGGCTTTGCAATAAGGCATGCCAAGACCAGAAATGGCATGTATGATTCTTTGAATGATTGTCAAAAAATCACTTTTCACATCACTGCATGCAGTTGGAGATGCAAACTTAAGGTTTAGAGCTCGTAACCACAAAAGCTACCAAACTGTGATACAGTTGTTCTCACTGAACCACTGACTAAACCGCACAAGATAGCTAGGATAGATAGATAGATAGATAACTCACCCTTAATGGAAAAATGTAGTATCATAATGAATCTCCAAATTGTTGAGTAGAGATTCATCTCTTTCTTAATCTCTTAGAACCCACTCAGCAGCTGTAAAGAAAAGTTATTGTCATTATAAATCACCATTTATAATTCCATCTTTGAAGTAATCTTCAACATTTACCTCAGCCATCTGTGTACAGGAGATGCTCTGGCTAACATGAGGAGGAGTTCTGCTGATCTTCTTCTCTTTACAAGTGCAAGTTTGGGGCTGATCATTTACAGAAGTACAGGCAGCTCCAGTCATAGGAGCTGTGTGACGCATGCACTGCGGCAGATAAGAGAAAAGACATTTTTGTCACGACATTATCTTGCTGATACAACTGAGATTAACATGCTTTGCGTCAAACCTGAGCATTTGATTTTATAAGCCGTTTTTCTTGTTTATCAAAGACTCCACAAACCACCAAGATACGTTAGTAGATATGTCCAGATCACCAGAATTTCATGCCGTCTGTGTGCCTTTAAGGTTTCCTTATAAAGATACAATCCAAAAAGTTTTCGCCATAGTCAGACAACTTGCTTTGTGAGATGCATCTGACTAAAGTGATGTTTGTTGCGCAAATGACACATCTTAAAGAGGCAAGTGACCTTGTTTGGTGGTATTTTGGAAAACACAGAAAGTTTGAACATTAGCTTCAGTACTTTGGTGCCCTACTTCAGTAGCCACAAAGGCTCAGTTGACTTCAATGTGCTTAACAATGCTCTCAGTAAAGTGCTGTTGTTAGCAGACAATCAACCCAAAATGTTACATACTGTGACATCAATTTACTCTGAAAAACATGCTGACCATAGCTTCACAGAAACCTCAATATGTTTGTACCTCCTGACACTTATGTTACAGTTGCTCTGTGCTGATGCAGTGGACAGCAAGCTTGATTCATGTTACATCAAAAACATACAATTATAACTCACTGTTGTCTAAAGTAAAAAAGTTTAAAGTAGTTAGGTTGGTAAAACAAAATTACAGTTTTCGTCTGAAAGAGGTGACTTCAAATGAATAAAACAATCAACCCATATCTTGCAAGCTGGTTGCTTATGCTTATAGTCCCTCAGAGACTGTGCTGGGAAAAATAAGCAGTCTTTCTCAAGCTACCCTAGTTTTGTGATTTCCTTTCGTAGTTTTTTTCATTTCAAACTTCAAAACCTTTAGGCTACAGGGAAAACCCAGAGGTTAGAGTAGGTGTGTGTAGGCCTACATGTCATGATCAAACAGACCTCAAGCTAATTTTCATAACTGACATGTCTGCATAAGGTCAAAGGTTTAATTTAAGGTACTTTATTGACACATACATGTTGCAAAATTCATTCTCAGCATTTAACCCATCCCTCAAGGAAGCAGTGGGCAGCCACTGTGCAATCTTTATCAGTGTCTGGTTAATGGCACTGATTGAAGAAACATAACATGTTTTTGATAGTGGGGGAAACCAGAGTGCCTGGAGGAACCCCATGCTGACAACATGCAAACTCCACACATAAAGGCCGGGGCAACCGGGGTTTGAACCCACAACCTTCTTGCTGTGAGGCCACAGTGCTATCCACTAGTGTGCACATCTGCAAGCGCAACACTATTGTATGTCTAGATATTTTTCACAAACTATTAGAATTGCAGTTGCCCTATGTCAGTCAAGCGCACCGTGTGTGTAACAACAGAAACTTTTCTACCTTTTGCTCGACTTGTACATTCACTTTTTTAAAGTGAGCCGTTATTTGCATCCCCGAGGTCAAACCAGCCGCCTCTAAATTTGGAGTACACACGTATTCTGACCTGTGTTGGAAATGCATTGAAACGGCCCAAAGGGAGTTTAAGCTTAGGTTTACAGCTGGTTTAAAGAGTAACCTAAGTGTATTCCACTGTCTCCACAGTTTATACCCCATTGACTTAGATGTGTGTTATGGGTCTTTCTTACATACCACTGCAATTTTCATGGCTGTTGTATGTTTAGTTGCAGCACACCGTTCACGTTGATTATGACTGGTTCGAG